GTTGATTATGGGTCTTATTTTGGTATCTCACCTGAAGGACAGAATGTTGTTGAATAAGCCTCTCAGTCTACGAAAGGAAGCAAGAAGAGATAAAAAAATTCACTTTAAAAGAGGATAACATGTTGGTGGAAGCATGGCTAGAAGTAAGCTTGGATGCAGTTCCAGGCGTCAACCAACCTCGTGCTACCTATTGCCTCTATATGTGGACTATGAGCTATGTGTGTCTTTAAATAGAAGGCACTATACATGGTGCATGCTTAATAAAACGATGAGTACAAGCCTCAATAATAAATTACATAGTACATGATTACAAGCCTAAATAAATTATATAGTGCTAAATTACAGAGTAAAATGATGACTACAAACCTCAATAAAGTACATGGTACATGATTAATACAAGTCTGCATGACGTTGCCAAAGATGCTCAATTAGGTCCTCCTTAAGTTGGTTGTGGGTTTCCATGTTTCTAATATTGTGATAAGCTTGCATGAACTCATGTAGCTCATGTGTGCGATTACGAACTTCACGCTGTGTAGGTCTCACTAGCTGGCCAATACCCTCATAGTGGAAGTCGTCTTCTTCATTTCGCTCATCTTCGACTATCATGTTATGCATAATGACACAAAGCTGTCATAATTTCTCTAAGTGTTTCTTTATCCCAGCTACGAGCTGGCCCACGAACAATGGCAAAACGAGCTTGTAAAACTCCAAAGGCTCGTTCCACATTCTTCCGTACTGCTTCTTCTGCCTTGGCGAAGTATTTCCTCTTATTGCCATGCGGATTAGTTATGGTCTTCACAAATGTTGTCCACTTGGGATATATACCATCTGCTAGATAATACCTCATTGTATAATTATGATCATTGATGGTAAAATTAACTTGAGGAGCCTCCCCTTCGGCTAGCTTGGAGAAAAGATGTGAACGGTGAAGAACATTGATATCATTGAGAGACCCTGGCAAACCAAAAAAAGCATGCCAAATCCAGAGATCTTTGAAAGCAACGGCTTCAAGGATGATAGTGGGCTCACGCTTATGACCGGTATATTGACCATGCCATGCCACAGGGCAATTTTTCCATTGCCAATGCATACAATCTATGCTACCAAGCATTCCTGGAAAACCTATGCACTCACCTATTGCAAGTAATCTGGCAGTATCATGCTCATTTGGAGATCTTAGGTATTGACCTCCAAACACTTCGACTACAGCTATAACAAATCTTTTAAGACTCTCTAGGGCCGTACTTTCACCAATGCGAATATATTGATCCATAAAATCTATCGGTACTCCATAACTGATCATCATCAATGCTGCAGTAACCTTCTGCAAACATGATAACCCAAGTCGCCCACATCTATCTCTTTTTTGCACAAAATAATTGTCATGTTGTTCTATAGCTTGCATTATGCGAAGAAACAGAGGACGGGCCATTCTAAACCTGAGCAAAGAAATGAGAATAAAAAAACTACACATAGAAAGAGCATGAGAAAAAAGGGTAAATGAATTGACCAAGATATTTGCAAACCTGCGTCGGAATATAGATTCCCCATAGGTTGGATGCTCCGAGAAATAGTCATTGTAGAGTCTAAAATGGCCACTTTCTCTTTCTCTATGAATATAGTTTCGGCCAAGTATGGAACCTCCCCAACGTGGACTATTCAAAGCTAGATATTGAGTATGGGCTTGGTGTAATGCATTAAGGATGAGCTCAGTCTCATCATCATCATCCGAAGATGAGGATGAATCTAAGCGAGAGAGACGACTCATTTCTGGTGGAGAAGGAACAACAGAGTAGAGAAGGAGCAAAAAAACGAATGAGTTGGTGTATGAACCAGGTGAGTGTGCAAGCATATATAAAGATAAAATCAGGAGACGTTGGAATATAGCCGTTTGGAGTAGAGCCATTTGAAATAGAGCCGTTGAAAATAGATTCATTTGAAATAGAGCCGTTTGAAATAGAGACGTTGCAACAAATTTACTGGAATATGGACTTCTAAAAAAGAGCCGTTGAAAAATTTGTCATTACAAAAAATGGCCATTGGAATGTAGTCATTAATCAAAAGTATAAACGTTGAAAATATAGCTATTAAAAATGGTTGATTTGTTAGTTACAAGATATGCATAAAATAGAGGTGGGAGAAAGTAGGGAGGCAAATATGAGAGATTGGATGAAGTTCACAGCTAAGTAGGGGATGGAATCTGGATGAGTAAGCTCTACTTTTAAGGATAGGGGTTCAAAATTTGAGGGTTCGGTGAGATGCTCTTAGGTGCCTCTGGTCAGTGATCCCGCGCGCGCGCCAGCCGGCCTCGCCAGTCACCACGCCAACATCAGGACAGTGATCGCCTGTGCCTCTGGTGCCGATGCGGATTGCAGGAGTTCGTGTTTAGAAGTTCCTACTACCCGTGAGCTGATCGATGGAATGCTTGCAAGTTCACCGTGGGACGGAAGAGGTTAGAATGGAAGCCAGCGCACCGCCGAGTGCGGTTACGGATTGGACCGGGTGGACCGCAGTCCACTTTTCGGTGGTGTCTACGTTGTCAGTTTTGCAATTGGATATAAAAAACAATTCCTCTCTCTCTTTGTAGAAAATGCTGGGAACATTTATGTCGGGTTCATAAACCCGGGGTCCCTAATGGACCGGCTTCTCTGCAAAGGTTTGGCCCAGCAGACGAACGCTGCGAAGGAACGCACAGCTCTTGGGCCGGCCCAAGAGCCCAAACGATAGGTTAGAAGGGCGATCCAATTTCCGACCGGAAGGTCTGGCCGAGGAGGAACGGCGTCCGCTTCCGACTCCGGCCCGCCTCTCCAACCGGAGCGCTCGCTTCGGTCTCTAGCCCATTTCCGGACGGCCTCTCCGACCGGAAGGCCTAGCCAAACACCACTCCCGACTCCGACCCGCTTCTCCGACCGGATGCACTGAACCCCTGCTTATAACTCCTCTCCGGCTGGCGCAATCGGAGCCGACTGGGACTCAACCGACCGGGGACGCCCGCTCGGTAAGGACCAGGAAATAAACGGAGAAAGCAAGGCATGGCACCCAAGTCAACCGCAATACCGAGGACCGTACCCTGTACACCTGTAGGACAGTACCCTGCGACCTCCCTGACATAACAGAACCCAAGTAGTGTTGTAGGTGCCGACATTTTCCCAACAGTTTTGTGGGCGCCGTCAACTCCCATACCAGACAAATACGGTAAGGCTCCCCCACGTGCCTCTGAGGCATCGACAGTGTTGTGGACGCCGACATTTACCGTAGCAGGCGAATGCAGTAAAACCCCCCACATGCCTCCGGACATCAACAGTATAGCAGGTACCGACATCTGCCATACCTGAAGAAGACAACGCAACCTTCCACGTGCATCTGACATTCCACAGTATTGTGAGCGCCTACCATCGTCTTGTACCCGCTGGCGTGGGCAGCAAGACTTAGCAGCAAATGTACTCCCTTCCTCTCGCTTGTAAAGCCATCACCTTCATCTATAAAAGGGGATGCGCTCTCTTCCAATATAGATTCATTAGATCGATCAAGTTCACTAGTACACAACAGCAGAATTATCAGTTCCAAACCACGAGCACACGCTCGAACACTTAGCACATAGCAGGGCTCCCGTCGCTCTCGGCCCTTCAGACCAGAGTTCGACTGGACCTCTTGTACCCCCCATCTTTCTCCTTCTCGTTTGTAACCCCACTGCAAATTTCGAGCACCTGGGCTCAGAAATAAAGTCACCGACCGACTCAAACTGGACATAGGTCACGTTACCTAAACCAGTATAAACCCTGTGTCATTGAGTGCTAGGCCACCTCCGATCACAATGTACGGCAAAACTACAAATATTTACGTGTTGGTCACTTTCTGCACCGACAATTTATATCTTCAAATAAGTTTATTATGAAAGTGTATTCAACGATATGTTGCAAGTGTTTTATATCGATGTTGCAAAAGTAGATCGGGATGTGGCACATGTTGCAATGGCTATACACGTATGTTTCAAGTGTATGTTCCAAATGTTTTAGACGTATGTTGTAAGTGTTTCATCTGGATGTTGCAAAAGTAGATCTGGATGTTGCATATATATGCAAGTGTTATAAGTGTTTTCATACGTATGTTACAAGTGTTTTTTATCTGGATGTTGCAATGTTTTTAATGGCTACACACGTGTTTTCAAGTTTGTCTGATGTTTTTCAAGTGTTTCAAACGTATTTTGCAAGCGTTTCAGCTGATTCGGACGTATGTTGCAAGTGCTTCATCTAAATATTGTAAAAGTAGATTGGATGTTGCACATGTTGAATGTGACCCACTTGCCACCTGTTGCAGCTACTAGGGCGCCGCCGAGCGGGCAAACGGTCCTCACGTGCGGTTGGACAGCGTAGAAAATATCGAAGGGACACGGGCCCACGTGGGCACGCAAAACGAGTATGCACGGGGAACGGGGTGCGGAGAAACAGACTAGCACGCACGAGCGTGCGGACGTTAGTCCAGACGTCCGGACGCTAGCATCTCCGATATACATACCCAATAGTTCGTTGACCACCTCTCCATTTTAATCCAAGCTTCGCCTCCCCTGCCATGTGCCCTGCCCCGGTGAAACTGGCTCACTGCCATGACCGAACCACCCGATCGCCTACGGAATGCAGAGTTCACTTTCATGCCCGGCCGACGCAACGGCATGTTCGTTTAGTCGTAAACGATCGTAGATTATAAATTAAAACAGTATTTTTTTTCTCATATTAAACCAGCCAGCAGCAATAAAGCAGACGCGAACATTGTGCGTCCAGCGTCGATGTACGGCTGGCGTCGGGAAACGAGACGCCTGGCATAACCGACTAGCAAAGCAGGCAGGCAGGCAGAGGCAGAGGCTGGAGGCAGACACCCACAAAGCTTCCACAGCGCAGAATCCACGAGCGACGCGAGAGAGCAAGACAGCGAGAGCAAGACGAGTCCATTGGCCATAGCAAGAGAGAGCGAGAAAGAGTCAGGCCGGGGCCAAAGGCACCACCATGGCGGGCGACATCAGCGTCGGCCAGGCCATCGCCGTCGTGGCCGTGGGCAGCGTCTCCATGCTTCTCATCGTTGGCGCGAGCTTCTGGGCCATGGAGGCCTACCACGCCGGCCGGCTAGTGCGAGGCTGGCGGTGGCTCCGGGTCAGGGCGCTCGGTGGCGTGACGACCCTGCGGCGGCCGTTGAGCTACAACTGTGCCATGTGCCAGTACAGCTTGGACGCCCACGAGGAGGTGCGCACCCTCTCCTGCAACCACGTGTTCCACTGCCGCGAGAGCGACAGGTGCAGGGACGGCATCGACAGGTGGCTCGTGCAGGAGAGCATGGTCTGCCCCATCTGCCGCAAGACCCCCTTCCCCGTGCTGCCGTGGAAGGCGTGCCCGCCGCCATTGTCGCCGAGACACCACCGATGCCGGTGTCGTCGTCGTCGGGGTTCGAGGAGCCACCACTGACGCTGTCGCCCCCGGGGTTGGAGGAGCCGCTGCCGTCGTCACCGGGGTTGGCGGATCCGTTACTACTGCAGTCGTCGCAGTAGACATACATGATCAGGCTTCGATCGATACAATGGCCAACATCCCAGACATGATGGATAAGTTCTTGAATCTTGAGAGAGGTTCTTTCAATGATCCCCCTCGTTATTCTGCTTCTGCATTCTTGGAAACTGATCGAATCCTGACTTCGTGTGAATATGCCATGTCGTCCTTGCTGTCCATGTGGTTTTGTGTATTACGCACATTCCCTGCATTAGTGCATTATGCAGAATTGCAGACCCTTGTGACAAGCACATTCCCCCATCGTTAATCGCTACTGATTTTAATGCATGATGCTCGTTGCCTCCGCTGCTGACTTGCCCTTTCTGACGCTTTTATGCTCTGTTGTTTCTGTCTCTGTGTTGCTTATGCACATTGCACTGTTGTCTCTTGTTATTTACGTCTCCGTAAATATTGTCGAGTTGGCTGCTCACGTCATTGATGCGTGTGGTATATTGGCATATTGGTAATGTTGGTATGTTGCCTAAGATATTGATGCACACGGAGATATTGTCAGAAATGCACATTGCCGCGTGCCATTTCTACGCTGCTCCACGTCATTGATGCGTGGTATATTGGCAGGGCGGCTGTACCGTGCATAAGGTCCTGTGCCCTTAATCTAGACATACAAATGAGTGAAAGTTATTTTTTTTCCTAAAAAAAGAAGAGTTCCAGCCTAACGATCGCACCCAATAGTCCTTACAAATTTTCAACTCATGCTGATTACATTAAAAAAGATAAGAGAACACCAAATTGTAAGAAAAAATCAAAAACAAATTCTATTATTGTTTGTCCATCCATTCTTAGCGGAAATATCCAAAACAAAGCGAGTCTTAGAGGCTTAGAGCAATGCATGTACATCATATTACTGAATAGGAGAAGTCCAACACAGAATAATCATCAAACATGACTAGATAACATCATTTTAGAGAAGCTAATAAATTTTGCATGAGACTAACTAAAATGGAATGAATAGTCCGTTCTAAAACTCTAGCAAAATTAACTTGTAAAAGGTGCGGAAGAATTCAAATGGTTGACTACAATATGATTGTACCCAAAGACTCAAGTTACAGCAACACACTACCCCAAAACTCCAAGTCTCTACTACGCCCAACACCTTATGTCTTGATCAAGATTTGCAGCCACAGGGTGACTAGCAAGCAAAAGTAATTTTAAGAATATAAATTGCGCATAACAAAGAAGATTAAGTGGACAAAACACAATGAATACACTGATTTTTTTACCTGATCTCGCTGCTCCATAATTAAACATCTCAATCTCACTAGATTGGTTCTTCACCGAAAGAGCTTGATCTTTAGCACGATTCAGTAATGAACTTTAACCTCAATTCCATAGTTGCACTTCACTAATCAAGTAAGACTGCACAAAACTTCCCATAAGCAAAAACATCGCACCTCTCATAATATTCACGAAAGCATCATTGATTTTACCACCTCCAACCTATAACAAACAATATTGCTGCGCCTTCTTCGTGGCATGGTTAGTCGGGTCCATCATGCATCACATTTTGTCATGGCACACGAGGAGGTGAAGGTCAATGGGGGGCTTGCAAGACAAGTCGGTCGACACAAGTAGAGCGAGAGGGCCGCGCGAGGTGGTGAACTAGGCAAAGGTGATTTCTTTCCAATGATGCGCCTGAGGCCAAGCAATGCAAGATGCAATGTACTCATGGTATTATTTTACACCATATATAGAGGACATACACAACAAACCTTTGCCCTGTTCACTTAGCTGATAAGCCATGGCTAAAAATATTGTTGGCTGATTTGTTGTGAGAGAAAAATACTGTTCGTTGGCTGAAAAAGTACGACTTATAAGCCAAGCGAATAGGGCGCTTAAGGTGTTGACACAAAAAGGTCAGTTGGTGGCAAGGATGGCAACGGGGCGGTTTCGGGTCGGATATCCGCGGGTTTCGGATCTTGCGGGTTCGGGTTCGGGGATGATTTATCACCCACGGTTTTCGGGTTCGGGCCCCGAAACCAATCGGGTTCGGTTTCGGGTTTGGTTTTCCACCCGTGGATATCCGAAATAAATCATTTGGAATTAAAACTCATATTTTATAATATGCTAATAATGACTTGTTTACTTATATTATTAAATTTATTCTAAGTTGACTCATGAAAATATTAATTATTTGTTGCCTCTTGTTTATACATGTGAATATGTGTATATATATCATGCATATGTTTATAGAAAGTCCTTATTTCTCTTACTATGTTGTCATACAAAGCGGGTTTCGGGTATCCATTCGGGTATCCGCGGGTTCGGTTTTGGGGACGGATTATCACCCGAATCGGTGTTCGGTGCGGTTTTGGGTTTTGATTTCGGGTTTCAGGTTCGGGTGCACAGAGACTCCACCCAACCCGAATCCGCCCCGTTGCCATCCCTAGTTGGTGGGATGGATAGACCCAAGGGTGGAACTTCACCCCTAACTTAAGGGTTGTTTTTTAATCATATATGATCTTTCTAAAGGACATACTAGATTGGATCAGATTTTACCTTAGAAGGATCATTATGCAACTCTGTGGAGCATGGAAACAATTAGGGAGTGTTTGGTTGGCCGCCACCAGCAGCCACACTACAGTGAAGGCTACCACACCCTGTTATGTTGTTGTTTGGTTGCTTATTTAAATTTGCTTTGCCACATATTTTTGTACAAATTTCTAGTAACATTTTCGTCACATATGTGGCGTGAGTGTTTGCCACCAGGCACTGCCATAAACTCTGGCGCTCGGCGTGGTTTGCTGTGGCCTTCGTAGCTAACATTCTTGGACTTCGGACTATGGTCCTACACTCCTGCTTCCACTTGTTTTGCTAGCTCTGTGCTTCCTTGATAACAACCAGCCAATGGATTGAGCTCCATAATAAGCCCATGGATCCAACTAGGGTAAGTATTGGAGTAAAATTTTCTTTACCAAGTATGGCTTTGGATTGGATTTAGCAAGATTTTCTTTAGTAAAAGTTTTGTTCATATCTTTCTTCTCCTCCAAGTCATACTTGATCAAGCTCTTGTCAGTTGGAAGGTGTGACTTGTGATACCAGCCGTGCGAAACGGTGTGCGAGACCCATCGAAAAGGCACCATTTGACCTTCGCAGAATCCATTTCGAGTTTTCGACTTGAAAGGCCCCGCGAGACGGCGACTAGTCCACCCTCCATCCCTTCCCCACCTCCACTGGCTCCAGGCTCTAGCGACTCCGATCCGCGCTGCGCGCACAAGGCAACAAGCAAATCCCCATCCAGTTCCAAGCCCCAACTCAAATGCTCGCTTGGACTGCCACCGCCTCCTCCACTTCGTCCCACTCCCATCCTTATCGCTCCACCTCCGCGCGCCCCAGCCTACGTCCGGTCCTCGCGATGGCGGGCTCCGACGACCCCCGCGCAGCGCCCGCCAGGTCGGTCGCCGTCGTCGGCGCCGGGGTCAGGTGAGCGAGCGCTCTTTCCCTCTCCGAGCCTCGGGTGTGAGAGGGTTTTGGTGCGTGTTTGTGCCTTTGAGGCGTTTGATGAAATGGTGCTGGGGTGGGGTGCTCTGTGCCTTTGTGCAGCGGGCTCGCGGCGGCGTACAGGCTCAGGCAGAGCGGCGTGAACGTGACGGTGTTCGAGGCGGCCGACAGGGCGGGAGGAAAGATACGGACCAATAACGAGGGCGGGTTTCTCTGGGATGAAGGAGCTAACACCATGGTGAGAGGCATTTCGGTTCTGCTTACAATTTCATGGCTTCAGTTGTGCCATTCTGCATAGCTGCTTGCATCCGCGTGACTTCGATTGTGCCATTAGGCAGTAGTCAGTAAGATGACCCAATTGAACAACCTCCTTGTTTTGTGTGTAGATTGGTTATAAGGCCAGCAGCAGTGGCGGAGCTGGCAAAAATCTGTGCTTAGGGCCAGTATCTAAGTGCCTAAGCAATCTATAATAGACCCACATACCGATAGTTCACAAAAGCAATGGATAGAATACATAATTTAGAAGATATCTCAATTCTCAATTCAACTCACGTTTATGCAACAAACATGATAAAAATATGATGTTGTACAAAATAAGTATCTAATTATGTACCATTATTTGATTCATCCATGCCTATCATATCATCTACATTAGCAAGTGAACTTGAACCTATCCACGAAAGTTTGAACATTTAAAATCAGTAGGGGATTCAATATAAAACAAAATTTATTAGTGAACAAAAATGGATGACAGGGAACATAACATACTGGAGAATAAAATGGAGTATTGTTCTTTTCATTGTGTAATTCTAGTAGAAGTCTACACTCTACAAATTGCAGCATAAATAACTCATGAATTCAATTTGTTCAATTGAAAATTTGAAATAGAGAGGATTGGACCTGAACGTAGAGTTTGTCCAATTGGGGAAATCAGGAGGAAATGAGGAATGAAACACTACCTTCATTACTTGTTTGGCTTCCATCTGCGGCATCACACACCGGCAGTACAGCACTGGGAGACCACCTCTCTGCATCTCCTGCACTGCTGGACCAGGCGACCGGCACCACAGGACCCATTCGTTTTCAGCCTCACTGGGCATCTGTGGAGCTGGTGTCTAGGTCTGGCCTCTAGGTGCTGTGTCCAGGTTTGGGCTGGCACTATTAAAGGTCCAGCCACGTCGCCGCTAGGGTTAGTTAGCGCCCGGCTAGTGGGAGTGGCCGAGGGAGGGAGTGTGAGAGCCGAGCAGGTGGGCGGTGGGCAATTTTTCGATGCAAGGCCGTCAGGCCGACATGCACCTGGGCGAACCACGACTCAAGATGGGAACGGGCCGGGTCGACCCACCGGGTCGTTGGCCCGACCCACTAAAACAAGGCCAATGGGCCAGCCTTAAATTAGAAATGGGCCAACGGAGTCTGGCACTGTTGACCCATCGGGTAAGCTGGGTCGGCCCCGGCGCAGC